AAGTTATAGGACCCCTTTTAGGTATTCCAATCAGTTATAAGGTGAAGACAGGCTTACAAGTTTTCTGTAATCATGTTTCCCGAAATCCCTTTCTATCCTACTTGAGTGTCTATTTTACAATAGTAGGCAAGGGAAACTAATATTCATAAGACAGTCAAGCATCTTAGTATTATTTCCTCTCTTCAGACTATGCCTAGATCCCTGTATCACAGAGCCTTGTTATTCCAAGATTGATCATGAATTACTATTTACCTCTGTCCCATTTAGTCCATGCAAACCTCTCTCAGTGTTCTTTCACAACCCCCTCTTTTGTATTGCCCTCCTCAACACCTGAACTATGATGTGTCTGCCCCCTACCCTATACTCTACTGTTAGTGCCTCCCTCCACCCCACCCCCCAACTATCTCCCACCCTACCCCCAATGGTAACCAACAAAGATTTTTTTTCCCCCTTTTAGTATTGGTATCTTTTCTTAAGCTTTTACAATAATGGTCTTATGCAATATTTGTCCTTTTGTGACTAATTTCACTCAGCATAATGTCTTCAAGGTTCATCCATGTTCAGCTTCCTTGTTATTCTTCAAGGCAGCATAATATTTCATTGTGTGTATGTACCAAAGTTTGTTTAGCCATTCTTTCAGTGATGAGCACTTAGGCTGTCTCCATCTTTTTGCTATTGTAAATAGTGCTGCTATGAACATTGGTGTGCATGTATCTACTCCTGTTATGGCTCTATTTCTTGTGGATATATGTCAAGTAAAGTAATTGCTGAATCATATGGCATTTCCATTTCCAGCTTTCTGAGGAAGTGCCGTACTGTTTTCCAGTGTTTGGACCATTTTGCATTCCCACTAGCATAGTAGGAGGGTCCCAGTCTCTTTACATCCTCTCCAGCATTTATTGTCCTCTGCATTTTTGAACTTCACTGTTATTGCTGGTGTAAGATGATACCTTATTGTTCTTTTGATTTGCATCTCTCTAATGGCTAGTGATCATGAATATTTCTTCATATGTTTGTTGGCTGCCCGCATCTCTTCCTTGGTGAAGTGTCTGTTCATGTCCTGTGCCCATTTTTAAATTGGGTTATTTGTCTTTTTCTTGTAGAGGTGTTATAGTTTCCTGTCTATTTTAGAATGAGTCCCTTGTCTGATGT